GATCTCGAATGTATTATGTTTGAAAGGCCTCACTGGTGTGGCCTCCCCCTTGACATTATGGGGTTTCTCTGTGCTGCCCTCAAAACAGGTCTAGTCAGTGACATCCTGATCCACGGGACGAAGGCTCGAAACCGCTCCATTCACGGGGACGTGGTAGTTGTCGAACTGCTCCCTAAAAATGAATGGAAAGGAAGAACCACCGCCCTGGGTGAGAATGATGGCGAGTCCCCGAGTGAGCCCATGCCCACAGGTGAGCCAGCTGTAAAGTTGCCTGGTTGTCCATGTGGAATGTTTATTTTTCCTCTCTTTAGTCCAGAAATACTGCAGTTATTAATATATGATAGCATCTCTTTTCCTACATTGTCAGTTTCCCCTCTCTGGTTTATTTTATTCTCATCAGCACCCAAATATGCTATATAGTATGTCTCATCTTAAAATTAAAACCCTCTTAGGGGGCTTCCCTGGTGGCGCAGTGGTTAAGAATCCGCCTGCCAGTGCAGGGGACACAGGTTCGAGCCCTGGTCCAGGAAGATACCATATGCCATGGAGCATCTAAGCCTGTTTGCCACAACTACTGAGCCTGCACTCTAGAGCCCGCAAGCCACAACTACCGAGCCTGAGCGCTACAACTACTGAAGCCCACGTGCCTAGAGCCTGTGCTCTGCAACAAGAGAAGCCACTGCAGTGAGAAGCCTGTGCACCGCAATGAAGAGTAGCCCCCGCTGGCTGCAACTAGAGAAAGCCCACGTGCAGCAACGAACGCAGCCAAAAATAAATAAATAAAATAAATAAATGTTTTTAAAAAATAAATAAATGTCACACCAGACCCCACAAAAGAAGGGGCACACTGACAATGTTCATTTAAAAAATTATCTATCTTAAAAAAATGATCCATTTAATAATAAAATAGAAGGAAGGCAAATGTTTAAGCATCTCTCAACTTGTGTGGATGTGCTTTAAAAAATGGGATGTTGCATTTCCTGTTTTCTTCCTCACTGCTGAACTGGTCAGAGTCCAGATAGGTGACATCTTACCAGTTAAGGCTTTATTTTGTTTGGTTTTCCCAAAGGCAGAGTGGTGGGTATCCTTCAGAAGAACTGGCGGGATTACGTGGTGACATTTCCATCCAAAGAAGAGGTCCAATCGCAGGGCAAAAATGCTCGGAAAATCCTAGTTACACCTTGGGATTACAGAATTCCCAAAATCCGAATTAGCACTCAGCAAGCAGAAGCCCTCCAGGTACCTTTACTCTTTGCCTCTTTGTCTTTGCCAGCTTTTGAGCGGTACCAGGAACTGTTAACTCCTTTGCGTAGGAAGGGATAAATTAGTGATGGCATCTGGTGTTCTGAGATCCTGTTTTCTAAAAATTCTAAATATATAGAACCATCTGTTAAGTAGTCCTTGGTTAAAAAATGAAGGCCAGAGAGAAACCGTCCTAGAAAGAGCTGTGTAGGACAGCTAGAAAGAACATCCATTATCCAGTTGTCCAACACAGAAACTTTTCAATAGATACACTTTGCCAACACTAACAAGCTTTCTTTCAGCAAGCGATATAGAAATACGATGGCTCTGCCCTGTAGGGATGATATAGTGGTACTTCACAGAATCGATTATCCTTAAAGGAATAAGAGCCCTGGAGAGAAGACATAAACAAGGAAGTTAGAAATTAACCTTTACTGTGGCAAAGGGTGTAGGCATCGCCCAATTTGATTTGCCCGATGTTTTGCAGTTTGTAAATGAGACACTGAAGCAGGATGTCCCCAGCCAGTAATCTGGTCGTTGTGTACCTTTCCATCCCAAAGCCTCACGCAGGCTCTCTGAGGCCAGTTGTAACAATTGCTTTCCATGTCTATGGTTTGCTGGAATCCGGGGGCAGTGGGGTTCAGTTCATACGGATAACCTTCTTCTCCACCAAAAGATGTCACTTTAAAGAAATTAGAAAGTAACCCCCATACACAAAAACATTGAGATTTTTTGTTTTGAAATTTAATTTGGACTAGGCATAATTGGGTTTTTCCCTTGTGTCACAAATGTTAACTCGAATGTGTCACAATTGGCTTTCTGTCTCAGGCTACACTCTCCAGCCCACTTATTTGGTGCAGAGAGGTAACGCCTCCCTTCAAAGCATTGCACTAAGCATTTGCCTACCATCTGGCAATTTAGTAAAACAGGAGGAACCCAATAAAAGAATAGAAAAGAAAGAAAAACCGCTATTTGCAAATTGGCCACTCTCTTTGGAGCTTGATGCTGTTTATCGCTCGTTTGTTTGGTGCTGCTAATTGACCCACTTGACTCCTGGTGCCAGGCTCATGTTTCCCCCTCTTTGTTCAGGACTTTCGGGTGGTTGTGCGCATTGATTCCTGGGAGTCGACATCCATGTATCCAAGTGGACATTTTGTGCGTGTTTTAGGAAGAATCGGAGATCTGGAAGGGGAAATTGCAACCATCCTGGTGGAGAACAGCATTTCAGTTGTCCCCTTCTCAGAAGCTCAGGTCAGACTTCCGCCAGTCCTCTGCTCTGATAAAAGACATTTTCTACTTTTTTTTTTGCTTTTGTTGTTGTCCATTTTGTCATTAAGAAAGAAAAATCTTTGTACTATGTAACAACCCACTGTCTGAAACCACAGATAATGGGAAAATCTCACTCTTCTTTATTCTGTGTTTGAACCAGTTTGAAGTCAGCTTCAAGTGCAGAGTTAGTTTCCTGCAGCCTTACAGCTCTCAAATTTTTACATTTTCCTACTGTGCTTACAAATGGTATGTCAGTGTCTTACAGTCAGTATACGTCCATCCCCCCATGGTACTACACGGGTACCTGGTTACAGACCCAACTGGGCTCTGGTCCCCATCATAATCATTCAACCAGAGGCCTACAGAAAGCTGCAGGGAGCAGCTTCTTGGGTTCCATACATCTCTGACCCATGGGTCAAAAAATCATGCTCATTATGAAACTGTTTTTGTAACCTTTACAGAAAACAAAAATTCTGTGAACATAAAACATCAGCTATTTTCATCACTTTATGATCTTTTAAAATCCTCATAAATCTTTTTTATTATTCTTGCATAGCTATACTTATAGTGTGCACAGTCTATTTTCTGCTTCTTTCACTTAAAAATTATTTCTATGTATTGACATAGCCTACTTATTGTTAATAGTGATGGCAATTACTCTATAGTGATGTACTCTAGTTTGCTTAAGCATTCCTCAATTGCTGAGCATTTGGGCTCTTTAATTTTTCAGTATTATAAAAGGTGCCATTTCAAACATCTCATAAATGTTACTTTTTTTTTCGATCATTTTCTTTTGGAATGTAATCTTTCAAGTGAGATTACCAAGTCAAAGGGCATAAAAAATTTAAATAGCTTTTGCTATAAATTGGCAGATTGTTCTTCAGAAAAATTGGGCCAGTTTGCACTGCCATCAAGAGCATATGGGTAGCAAGGACTTCCCTGGTGGCGCAGTGGTTAAGAATACGCCTGCCAATGCAGGGGACAAGGGTTCGAACCCTGGTCCGGGAAGATCCCACGTGCCACGGAACAACTAAGCCCGTGCACTGCAACTACTGAGCTGCGCTCTAGAGCCCACAAGCCACAACTACTGAGCCAGTGTGCCACAACTACTAAAGCCTGTGAGCCTGGAGCCCGTGCTCCGCAGCAAGAGAAGCCACTGCAATGAGAAACATGCACACCGCAACGAAGAGTAGCCCCCATTCACCGCAACTAGAGAAAGCCCGCACACAGCAACAAAGACCCAACGCAGCCAAAAATAAATAAATAAATAAATAAATAAAGTAAATTTATTTTTTTAAAAAAAGAGCATATGGGTAGCAAATGAAGCAACTGACAAAGGATTCATCTCCAAAATATACAAGCAGCTCATGCGGCTCAATATCAAAAAAACCCAATCCAAAAATGGGCAGGAGACCTAGACAGTTCTCCAAAGATATACAGATTGCCAACAAACACATGAAAGTATGCTCAACATCACTAGTTATTAGAGAAATGCAAATCAAAACTACAATGAGATATCACCTCACACCAGTCAGAATGGCCATCATCAAAAAATCTACAAACAATAAATGCTGGAGAGGGTGTGGAGAAAAGGGAAGCCTCTTGCACTGTTGGTGGGAATGTAAATTGATACAGCCACTATGGAGAACGGTATGGAGGTTCCTCAAAAAACTAAAAATAGGGGCTTCCCTGGTGGCGCAGTGGTTGAGAGTCCGCCTGCCGGTGCAGGGCATGCGGGTTCGTGCCCCGGTCTGGGAGGATCCCACATGCCACGGAGCGGCTGGGCCTGCGCGTCCAGAGCCTGTGCTCTGCAACGGGAGAGGCCACAGCAGTGAGAGGCCCGCGTGCCGGAAAAAAAAAAAAAGAAAGAGTCATGTACCACAGTGTTCATTGCAGCTCTATGTACAATAGCCAGGACAGGGAAGCAACCTCAGTGTCCATTGACAGGTGAATGCATAAAGAAGATGTGGCACATATCTACAATGGAATGTTAGCCATAAAAGAAACGAAATTGAGTTATTTGTAGTGAGTTGTATGGACCTAGAGTATGTCATACAGAGTGAAGTAAGTCAGAAAGAGAAAAACAAATACCGTATGCTAACACATATACGTGGAATCTAAAAAAAAAAAAAAAAAATGGTTCTGAAGAACCTAGGGGCAGGACAGGAATAAAGACGCAGACATAGAGAATGGATTTGAGGACACCGGAAGGGGGAAGGGTAAGCTAGGACGAAGTGAGAGAGTAGCATTGACATATATACACTACCAAATGTAAAATAGATAGCTAGTGGGAAGCAGCCGCATTAACACACGGAGATCAGCTCAGTGCTTTGTGACCACCTAGAGGGGTGGCATAGGGAGGGTGGGAGGGAGGCGCAAGAGGGAGGAGATATGGGGATATATGTTTATGTATAACTGATTCACTTTGTTATAAAGCAGAAACTAACACACCATTGTAAAGCAATTATACTCCAATAAAGATGTTTAAAAAAAAGAGCATATGGGTATTCTTATTTTCATTATAATTTTTGACAGAATGGTGGCTACAATAGTAAAATAGAATATTTTACATTATTAAGTTGTTATGTTTACCATTAGTGTCTGGAAATTATTTGTTGACTTGTTTTGACAGCTTAGGGAAAATGTTAGAACAAAATAAAAGCGTGGATTAGACTGCACAGGACTAGAATTCTTCCCTTTTAGACTACTAAACTGCAAATTGATGCCTTGAACAGGTAATAATGCAGAGAAAATGCTTGAGATTGATCCTGCTTCAAAAAGGAATATGCTTTTAATATTTGGGACATGTTGGTTTTTATCCGGGCTTGACTTGAATTAAAAGCTCAAATGGATCATTTGAAAATGGGGTGGATATTGTACTCTTTATAAGCCACCCATTCATTCTCCAGCCTCCACAACTGAAGAAGCTGTAAACACCCTGGGACATTTCCTGTCTGACTGTAGCGCCTTCAGGGGCATGGGGATGTGTCTTTCCTATTGACTCCCATCTTTCCAGAGCCTAGCACAGCTCCTGACACATTTTAGGCACCTAATAAATAATTATTGCTCAAAAAAAGCAAACATAGGTTAATTGCATAAGGTAATGGGTAATGAATGGGGTTTCCATGAGGTCACATTGAGAATGTTAGAGAGTGGATTTTTATAGGAAATTTCTGGTGCATGAATTGCTGAATTTGGGGACTCTCCTTGTACAGATGTGTGAGATGCCAGTAAACACAACCGAAAGTCCCTGGAAGGTGAGTTCCGAAGAGGAACGAGAACGTAAAGACCTTAGGAAAACCCATCTGGTATTCAGCATTGACCCCAGAGGTTGTGAAGATGTGGACGACACCCTCTCGGTCAGAGCCTTGGATAACGGCAACCTAGAGCTCGGGGTCCACATCGCAGATGTGACGCACTTTGTGACATCACATTCTTATATTGATATTGAAGCTAGAACAAGGTAACGCTGTTTGAAGTCAGCACTGCGATTATGTGTCACTGTAATGTATTTTGTAACTGCTAGTTTCAGATTTTTAAAACAAAGATTTCACAGTTGGGAACAATTCTGAAGATCTCTTCGAGGAAAAAAGAAATTGAGGTCCACTTCCCCTTTTCCTTTAGAAAAGTAGTACCTTGATCAATTTACCTTTCCTTTTTTAACAGAATCTTTTCATGTGTTGTTTCCTTCTAAATTGAAATGGGTTAAATTTTTCATGTAGTAATATCCTATTTTATATAAATACTGGATCATTACACTCTAACTTTTCTTGTACAACTAAGATCCGTACCACTTTTTCTTTCTCTTTTCTATCAGTGGCAGAATATTCAGCCCAAAGCAGTATCACTTAGAAAAGTGGGAACATGGGAATAGCTGGATTACCCAGTCTGCTGCACTTGATGAAAAAGCAACAGCCTTGGGGAGTTTGTGCTGAACTTTCGGCCATTTTCCTCACTGCAGCCTGTACCATCAGCAGTCCTGCTTCTTGCTGCTGAAGGTCATGTGGTAGGGAAAAATCCAGCTCTACCCCGCTATGTCTTTCTTTCCTGTGAGTCTCCTTTGCCTTTACAGGGAACACGTCACATCTGACACTTCTGGTCACCAAACGTGTGGAGGTGTTTCTCTACACCAAGCAGTTCTCTGCAACCCCAGCTGGGTGTCTTACAATTTAATTCAGTTCTGATACTGTCTGCCCAGAGATGGCATCAGGTTCCACAGGGTAAAGGACTCAGTCCCACAGGACTGTCCCCACTCCTCAACTTCAGACACCATCACAAGCCCAGATTGTCAGCATGCTTCTGAACAGCCAGCTGTAGATTAAAGGTTCCCATGACCCCCTCTTTAGACTTCAGATGCCAGTTGCAAGTCCACATTCTTACCTGTACTTCTGACCAACTGGCTATAAATCAGAGGTTCCCAGACCCCCTCCTCAAGTTCAATTAATTTGCTAGAGCAGCTCTCAGAACTCAGGAAAACAGTTTACCTACGTTTACTGGTTTATTATAAAAGTATATGATAAAGGATACAGATGAACATCCAGATGGAAGAGATGTGTAGAGCAAGGTATGTGGGAAGGACACAGAGCTTCCAGGCCCAAGGATGCCACTCTCCCCAGCACCTCCGTGTGTTCACCAACCCAGAAGCTCTCCGAACCTCACACTTTGGGGATTTTATGGAGGCTTCATCATGTTGGCATGATCGATCAGTAACTCCATTTTCAGCCCTTCTTCCTTCTCAGGAGAATGAGGGGCAGGGCTGAAAGCTTCTAATCATGGCTTGGTCTTTCCAGTGACCAGCCCTCATCCAGGAGCCCACCCAGAGTCTCATTAGAACAAAAGACACTCCTACCTCCCAGGAAATTACAAGGGTTTCAGAAGCCCTGTATCAAGAGCTAGGGACAAAGACCAATATATATTTTCTATTATTTCAAAAATAAACACACACACACGCATGCATACCTATGGACATGTGTTCTTTCTTTGTTATACAAATGGTGACCATATGTATGTGTGTGTGTTGTGTGTGTGTGTGTGTGTGTGTGTATATACTGTTCAGACCTTGCTTTTTTTTAATTAACAATGTATCTTGGAGATCATTAATATGGAAATCATTCCATATTAATAACAGTTATCTATCTGTGGAAATTTAGATTGTTTCCAAACTTTTGCTATTATAAACAAAACTGTACTGAATTACTTGGAATATAACTCATTTCACATTTTTAAAAGTACAGTATCTCTGGAAGATAAAGTCCTAGAAGTGGAATTTCTGTGTCAACGGGTATATGCATTTGTGTTTAAATAGATAATAACCAAATTGCCTTCCACAGAGGTTATACCAATTATATTCTCTCCATCAATGTATGAGAATGCTAGTTTCCCCACAGCCTTGCCAGCACAATATGTTGTGTTTTTTTGTGTCTTTGCCAATTTGAAAAATAAAAATGGTATCTTAGAGTGGTTTTGATTTGCATTTTTCTACTATGAGTAAAGTCAAACATTTTTTGTATGCCTAACAGTCATTTGTATATCCTTTTCTATGAACTATTTCATGTTTCTTGCCCCTTTTTCTTTTGCTTTCTTGATCTATTAATAATTGATATCTAAGAGCTCTTTATACATTAAGAAGTTAGCCCAGTGTTTTTTATGTGAGTTGCAAATATTAGAGTGATTTGGTGATAAAGTGATTCTTTACTAAGTGAACTTTTTGCTAATGAACCTACCATCAAGGCTGATATCCTAGTTCAGTGTCATCCTGTAGCATTCGAAAGGCTTTGCTCTTCTTTGCTAGCGAGCCCGGTAGACTTAACTCTGTCAGTGCTATGCTGTTCTAAGGAAAATGGAGAACCGTAAAGTCAGGTTTGTAACATTCCATGTGAACTTATTTCAGAATTGCTCAGAGCTCCCCAGAACCTAATCTAACCTTGTTTCAATTTTAAGTATCTTTTGATTTAGCAGTGGAGTGTTGGATTGAAACATCGGACCAGAGCCCTGTAGCAATGTCATTTTTTTTCATTACATTTAGGGTCTAGTTCTGTTTATTTCAAAAATGAAAGAATTAAATAATGATGTGACTGTGACTGGTTTTGTAGGTATGCTGTAAGCATCATGTGGGAATTGGATAAAACCTCCTATGAAATTAAGAAAGTATGGTATGGCAGAACCATTATTCGATCAGCATACAAACTATTTTATGAAGCAGCCCAAGAATTACTGGACGGAAGCGTCGACATTGTTGATGATATTCCAGAATTCAGGGACATGGATGAGAAGAGCCGACAAGCCAAGCTAGAGGAGTTACTGTGGGCAATCAGAAAGTTGACGGACATAGCCCGCCACATCCGAGCCAAACGAGACCGATGCGGAGCCCTGGGGCTGGAAGGGGTAGAGGTTCGCATCCAGCTCGATGAGAAGAAGAACATTCACAACCTCATCCCCAAGCAGCCCCTAGAAGTCCATGAGACGGTGGCTGAATGCATGATCCTGGCCAACCACTGGGTAGCCAAGAAGATCTGCGAGAGCTTCCCTCGCCAGGCCTTGCTGCGCCGGCACCCTCCTCCACACCAGGAGTTTTTTTCTGAACTCCGAGAGTGTGCTAAAGCAAAGGGCTTCTTCATAGATACACGGTAATTCCTCTTTTGAGGAGGCAGGGAACTGGAAGGGGATGCTGTGCACTTACTGATCTTACAGTAGTTCTTAAAATGTGACAGCCACATCTTTGATCAAAAATAGAAAACTTCTTGGCTTTCTTCATTTACTATAACGTAGGTATAGAGGCTTCATTTTTTTTTTTTTTTTTTTTTTTTCCCCATTTTTTTTTTTTTTTTTATTTTGCCACACCACGTGGCTTGCGGGATCTTTGTTCCCCAACCAGGGGTAGAACCCATGCCCCCATGCAGTGGAAGCTTGGAGTCCTAACCACTGGACTGCCAGGGAATTCCCTAGAGACTTCAAATTAAAAGAAGTTTATTTAGGCGTAATTTTGACCCACTACAGTTTGTAATATAAAAGTAAGGAACCTGTTATCCTTGATTTAATTTCATCTGCCCCTTAGGCAAATGCGAAGACTTAATCCTCTATTTCAGTACTTTAAAAATGCAGCCTATCTCTGTGGCAATATCGTAAGACACCACACCGATGGTAAATTTATACCATCCCTCCGTAGAATGAGACGTTTTTACTCCCCACCTCCAGGATAAAATATTTTCCCTGTTAAAAATGATGTATAAAGGGATTCTTTTTTCAATATTTTGTTGTCAGTAACAGGTGCTAATTAATATATCTTTTATTCATTTATGAAAATGGATTTTTTTGCCTCTCTCTTTAGGCGATAGTATCTCTTAACTGGTTTAGTCCGTGGTTGAGCTCTGAGTGCGTGCCAGACGCACATGCTAAGGGCTTTCAGGTGTTAGCTTGGATCATTCATTCATATTTTACAGATAGGGAAATTAAGTCTGGAGAGGTTAATTTGCCGATAATTTAGCAGCTGGTTAGGACAGAGCCAGGATTGGAATCCATGTCTGTCAGACTTGAAAGCTCACATTAGTGCCCACTCTGTCACATTGCTTCTCCTTTCATCATCCGCCGGTCTCCTTCCCCATTTCTCTTGGCAGGCTATGGTACAGAACTGAATTATATACTATATTATTAAATTGTTAATATAACTCTGTATTTCCCGGGTTTCAAAAAACTACTTAAAAGTAAGTAAATAGAATGCTTCCTCTTGCCCTCTTTAAAAAAAGAAAAAGGTTTTCTTTTTCTGGGTTTAGTTCTGTTTTGTTTTTTAACTCAATGTTTTTTTTTTTTTTTTGGCTGCGCTGCCTGGCATGCAGGATCTTAGTTCCCCGACCAGGGATCAAAGCATGGAGTCTTAACCACTGGACCACCAGGGGAGTCCCTGGCTCAATAATTCTTGATTTAAAAAAAGAAAATATCCATTCTTTGACCTGTACAGAATGTTTAAGGTTAAGGGTGTTAGGAATTTAATTCAGCAAGTACCTGGCCACCCACTATGTGCTGAGCATAACTTCATCTCATAAGTTCAGCACATTACTCTTCAGTACTTAAGAAATGTATTTGAGGGAATTCCCTGGTGGTCCAGTGGTTAGGACTTAGCGCTTTCACTGCCATGGCCGAGGTTCGACCCCTGGTCAGGGAACTAAGATCCTGCAAGCCATGCAGCATGGCACAAAAAAAAGAAATGTATTTCAGTTCTGACACTCTTTGTTTAAACCTCAAAAGCAAACTAGATTTCTTCTTTTTTTTTGGCTGCGTTGGGTCTTCATTGCTGCACGGGCTTTTCTCTGGTTGTGGCGAGCAGGGGCTACTCTTCGTTGCAGTGCGCAGGCTTCTCATTGCGGTGGCTTCTCTTGTTGTGGAGCACGGGCTCTAGGCGTGCAGGCTTCAGTAGTTGTGGCACACGGGCTCAGTAGTTGTGGCCTGTGGACTCTAGAGCACAGGCTCAGTATCTGTGGCACACGGGCTTAGTTGTTCCATGGCATGTGGGATCCTCCCCGACCAGGGCTCGAACCCGTGTCTCCTGCATTGGCAGGCAGATTCTTAACCACTGCACCACCAGGGAAGCCCCGCAAACAAGATTTCTATAGTTGAAAAAAGTTGCTTCTGAAATGTGTCCAAAATAAATTTAACTACTGGCAGATGAACGTATTCAGATGGTGAGTGAAGGGTTCCCCTCAGAGTGTTGACTTGTAAATTATTGCTGGGGACTAAATAAAAGTTTTTACATTTTTTTGTCAGGTCCAATAAAGCACTGGCTGATTCTCTGGATAATGCAAATGACCCCAACGATCCCATTGTCAACTGGTTGCTTCGGTCAATGGCTACACAAGCCATGTCTAACGCACTGTATTTCTCCACTGGATCATGTGCCGAGGAAGAGTTCCATCACTATGGTGAATGATAAAATTTTACTCTGTGTGCCCATGACCTTGAGCAAGTTGTTTAAAAAGTATATTTTTTTGTTTATTTTGATTTTTTGGTTTATTTTTGAAGGTCTAGCATTAGATAAATATACTCACTTTACCTCTCCGATAAGAAGATACTCAGATATTATAGTACACCGACTGTTAATGGCAGCCATTTCAAAAGACAAGAAAATGGAAATTAAGGAAAATTTGTTCAGCAACAAAGATCTTGAGGAATTATGCAGACATATCAACAACAGAAACCGAGTAAGAGGGAATTTTTAATTCTCTTACCCATCACCTCTTTTACTAACAGAAAAGCTTTATTGTATAGTGGAATGAAGTACCCTATATTCTAGCAAATTAAACTCTAGAATTATTCCAACCAACGAAATAACATGAAAAAATCATAAAGTTTGTTGAGTAGCTCTCAATACATTTACAAATGTTCTGAAGTGACTTAATGTGGATTTATGAGATTTACCACGGGTTAGATGTTTTTCCCACAATGTAGAAATGTGAAAGATTATTATTATCTTACTACCCAAAGATAATAACAATTCTAGACAATTCTTTTTATTTATAAAATTATCCAGTCATACCTGCTGTTTGAAATCTGCCTTTTTTCACTTAACATGTTATTGGGCTTCCCTGGTGGCGCAGTGGTTGAGAGTCCGCCTGCCGATTCAGGGGACACGGGTTCGTGCCCCGGTCCGGGAAGATCCCACATGCCGCAGAGCGACTGGGCCCGTGAGCCATGGCCGCTGAGCCTGCGCGTCCGGAGCCTGTGCTCCGCAACGGGAGAGGCCACCACAGTGAGAGGCCCACGTACCGCAAGAAACAAAAACAAAAACAAACAAACAAAAAAACATGTTATTGATAGCACACCATGTCAATATAGTTACATCATTGTTTTAGAAACTGCTTCGTATTCTATTTTATATTGTTGCTAGTGGCCATAATGTTGTACAGCTTAGAACTAGACCATTTGGTGATACATAAGATTGGAAGCTGCCTAAATGTTTAATATTATTTTCTGTATCCAGGGTTCTAGTTTGATACTGTGCAACATTATAGCCACTAGTCAGGTTGGTTTAAATTAAAATTTCAGTTCCTCAGTCACACTAGCCACACTAGCCCAACAGACACGTGTGGCTTGTGGCTACCTATGGGACAACACAGATACAGAACGTTTCCATCATTGCAGAAAGTTCTGTTAGGCAGCACTGTTCCAGGCAATCTAGTTTACAACCATCCTTGTGTATACACTTCTACAGACTTCTCACATTTTGCCTGGATAAATTCCTGGTAATAATGAATTGCTGAGTCAAAAGGGCTGCACAAATAAAACTTTCATACCTATTACTAAATTGCCCTTCAGAATAGTAGTTCTAATTTGCACTTCTACCAGCAGGATTTGGGTAGGACAGACTTGAAAATAAACGTAAGACATAGACCTGGATACTTTTCCTCTTCCTGTATGAACTATAGACAGTTTCTAAATAAGTTGTTTTCTTAAAAGAATTAATTTTCTAAGACATTTTTGAGGGAATGATAAAGGGTCCCACAAAATTGACTTAATTCATAATAGAGAAGAATGTTTGTATTAATAGTTTTCTAGAACCTAGCCTTTTTTAAAAGTTATTTTTTTTTGCGGGAATATGAATCCCATGTTTCTTCTGGGGATCTCAGGGGAGTCCATCATCATGCTTTGGGGTTGTGCTTCTTCTTACAGGCAGCACAGCATTCTCAGAAGCAGTCTACAGAGCTCTTCCAGTGCATGTATTTTAAAGACAAAGACCCAGAAACTGAGGAGCGTTGCATATCTGATGGGGTTATTTATTCAATTAGGACAAATGGTGTGCTTGTATTTATACCAAGGTATGTTATTTCTAACACAATAGTTGTTAAGAAATCATGGTTAACCTTAAAGTATAGACATGGTATATAAATGGTACATTAGATGTAATTTATTAAAGCATTTATTTTAGCAGCTGTTTTGTAGTTACCATATGTACATAATGTAATACATAATTCATTATGTAAGTATAAATGGATATTAGAATCTAGTACATCTGTATCAGTCTTAGAGTTTTACTTTGTTATTTAGCAAAACATTTTGTTTCCATCTGCTCAATGAAATAGATATTTGGAGGTAAATCAGATGAAAAGTTTTTTTTTTTTTTTTGGAAAAGTTGTTTTTAATCTGTAAGAAAAACTAGCATTCTAGATAAGTATACAAAATCTGCATACTAAGAATATATTATCTCTGGATTTTTATTCTGACAATGATTCAGGTTTGGGATTAAAGGCGCTGCTTATCTAAAAAATAAAGATGGTTTGGTGATCTCATGCAGCCCAGATGGCCATTCTGAATGGAAACCAGGATCCCTTCAACGATTTCAAAACAAAATCACCTCTACCACGACAGGAGGGGAATCTGTTACGTTCCATTTGTTTGACCACGTAACAGTAAGTCTGTATTTATGTTAAGTATTGCTTTCACTGCAAAGAACAAGGACTGTGATTTAGTAATATGCATTTTCTCCTGTGACAGGTGAGGATATCTGTACAGGCCTCACGTTGCCATTCTGATACAATAAGGCTTGAAATAATAAGCAACAAACCATACATGATGCCAGATACAGAACTTTTTCAGCAGAGTTCCCTCTTGCTAAAGAGTGATTTAGTGAAAGAAGTAACTAGATCTATGGAGGAAGCTCAGCTTGCACAAGAAGTCAAAGTAAATGTCATTGAGAAAGATTATCAAAAATATTGCCAAACAAAGGGAAGAAGCCTGTACACACTTCTAGAGGAAATAAGAGACCTAGCTCTCCTGGATGTTTCCAACAGTTATGGAATATGAAACTCTTCTTACTTCATTAAAAGACCTTTGTCTTACGTGAATGTTTTACCTTCTTTTAAACATTAGGATATAATTTTCTGCATCACCCAATGTCACCCAATCCCTGAGTGGGATTGGGTAGATATTTCAGATATTTGTGAAATGTTTTCTTATCATTAATTTAAGTTGCATTAAATAAAGTACAGTTAGGTCACTATGGAAAGTGGTTTTTCAGAGATAAGTAGATACTGAATCCTGGCTCTGCAAATCATGTTGCTGGTCTTGTTAATAAACCCAGAACTGACTTTTGGTTAGCTTGTCTCAAACCCATTCTTTTATAGTATTAATTTTTTCAGTAATTGCTACACTGGGCCATTTGGGTCATAGGCCCCTCTGACATCTGCCAGATTAACTTTTCAGTCACCTTCAGATAATAAGCTCCGTCCTGTCTACGTATCCACTTTAAAACTCCCTGTTTCGTATTTGACTCAGTCACCCCTGCTGTCCCCAGCACCAATTGGGGATAGGGCTTAGGGAGCCGGGTGGGGTGCACAGGGTAAGGTCGTCTGTTCTCTCAAACCTCCATTCCCACCCTCTCCTCAGATGATGAGTTGCATTGGACTTGCCCTTGCTGGAGACTTGTTACTTAGCACCATCACTCTGCCAGTCTTCCCCCGAAAAAGCAACCTTCCCATGTCCTAGTCTGTAAAAACTAGCTTTGCCTTTCCCTCTCCCCCATGGGAATCTCCTGCCAAGAACCAGACCAACCTTTAAACTTGATTCTCAACGTGGTACTTTCTATCTGCAACTACCCTTCCACCAAGTTGATAAACTCAGGCAGGAAAAACTGCCTGAGGTACTCAGGTACTCCCTGAGTACCTGGTAGGTACTCCCACCACGTGGCCCTAACACTTCAGCCTCATATTCACCATTCCCAAATCTCTCATTTCCTAGATTTTCATTTCTATATTATTGTACGTTCTTCCCAATCCTTGGCATCTCCACCAAATCCTCCCTACGTGCTCTGTGTTCCCCATTACACTTTGCAAGTCTCTCTCCAACTAACTAGTCAGTAAGGTACCAAGGAGCATGTGAACTTCCCCAGCACCTATGCAGGCCAGGCAATGTATCAGCTTTTCACATGACCCTTTAAGTATTAAAGTGACTCCTCAGAAGACATGTAAACACATATAACAACTGTGAACATTTTACCAAAAGTGTAAAGTATAGAACTAAATACCAATGAGAAACTTTTATAAAGCCTCTAGGGATAGTTTGTGAGCTTTTTATTTAAAAAAAAGAAAGAACATTAGCATTTATTACATATTTACATCTTAAAACACCACCCAATTTAGTAAAAACAGGTTATTCAATGGCACACTAGCAGTGGAAGCTACTTATTAACTACCAATCGTTTTTACAAGGTCATACCCATATAAAAATAAACACTAAGGAGAAGACAATGAAAGTGAATAAGAAACAAGTATAGATAATACCAGATTTTAAACAGGAATCTATAAAAGTTTCACTATATAAGGATTTTCGCTCAAAGTAGGCAAAATGCATAGTCATCTCAAATTTGGAAGATAGCAAGTTAATAGATTTTCTCATTTGAGGCCTATCCAACCTCAGTAACATTTCTAGATGAACCCTTAACTTACTATTATATATTTTTAAAGGACTGGTCCAGTTGCATTTTCTCTATTTTTAATTCCTCCTCTTCATTTACAGTATTGGCAGCAGCATCATTATGTGGATTGTCTATAAGGTCTTTGTTAAATCCATTTGATTCTTCCTCCTTTTGCTCCTCACCTGTACTACGCTCTTCAGGTGTCTGTGTACTGGGTGTGTTCATTAACAAGTCTGCAAGAGAAATCATTATTATTCATTACAAACACCTGATACAAACTTCTTCACAAGTTTAAATCAGTAGAGATGAAATAAATCTATGATCACTTTAGTTAATGTTAATTTTGATAACTTTCTTCCAAATAAAGCCATTTTTATACATGTATAAAATCCATTCAAAATGCAAGTCTTGAACTCAGACTTTTGAATCAGTCAAATGCAACTGTTCTCATTTAAAAAAATCACAACTACTAGATGGAAGTTTTTAAAAATCAGATGTTCTTATGAGATGTATGTCCAAGTGATCTACAGTAAAGAACATTTAAGATACTCATTTCTAGTGAAAAATTTTAAAGTCATATATTATAAATATCTTTTGTTTAATTTTTTTTTTTTTTTGGCTGCGTTGGGTCTTTGTTGCTGTGCACGGGCTTTCTCTAGTTGCGGTGCATGGGCTTCTCATTGCAGTGGTCTCGTTGCGGAGCACAGGCTCTAGGGTGCGTGGGCTTCAGTAGCTATGGCGCAAGAACTCAATAGTTGTGGCTCATGGCCTCTAGAGCACAGGCTCAGTGGTTGTGGCACACAGGCTTAGTTGCTCCATGGCATGTGGGATCTTCCTGGACCAGAGATTGAACCCATGTCCCCTGCACTGGCAGGCGGATTCTTATCCACTACACCACCAGGGAAGTCCCTTAAAGTCATATATTATAAATAGAAGATGAGCCTTAAAATGCTTATTACTACGTCAACTTTGATAATGACAGTAAGGAAGAACTGTCATCAACAATAGTTGTATCTTCATTAAATTTTTCACAAGGTAGTACAAAACATCCATTTGTTAGAAGTTAAATTCATCCTGGACTTCCCTGGTGGCACAGTGGTTAAGGATCCTCCTGCCAATATAGGAGATACAGGTTCGATCCCTGGTCCGGGAAGATCCCACATGCTGCGGAGCAACTAAGCCCGTGCACCACAACTACTGAGCCTGCGCTCTAGAGACCACGAGCCTCAACTACAGAAGCCCGTGCTCTAGGGCCCACGTGCTGCAACTACTGAGCCCACGTGCTGCAACTACTGAAGCCCATGAGCCTAGAGCCCATGCTCTGCAACAAGAGAAGCCACTGCAATGAGAAGCCTGCGCACTGCAATGAAGAGTAGCCCCCACTTGCTCCAACTAGAGAAAGCCCACGTGCAGCAACAAAGACCCAAGGCAGCCAAACAAAATTAAATAATTAAAAATTTTTAAAAAGAAACTTAAAAAAAAAAATTAGTGCTCGCTTCGGCAGCACATATACTAAAATTGGAATGACAGAGAAGATTAGCATGGCCCCTGTGCAAGTATGACACACAAATTCGTGAAGCGTTCCGTGTTTTTAAAAGTCATATACCACAATGTTCATTGCAGCACTATTTACAACAGCCAGGACATGGAAGCAACCTAAGTGTCCATCAACAGATGAATGGATAAAGAAGATGTGGCACATATATACAATGGAATATTACTCAGCCATAAAAAGAAATGAACTTGAGTTATTTGTAGTGAGGTGGATAGACCTAGAGTCTCATACAAAGTGAAGTCAGTCAGGAAGAGAAAAACAAATACCGTATGCTAACACATATATATGGAATCTAAAATACAGATGGTTCTGATGAACATAGGGACAGGACAGGAATAAAGGTGCAGGTGTAGAGAATAGACTTGTGGACATGGGGAGGTGGAAGGGTAAGCTGGGATGAAGTGAGAGAGTGGCATTGACATATATACACTATCAAACGTAAAACAGATAGCTAGTGGGAAGCAGCCACATAGCACAGGGAGATCAGCTCGGTGCTTTGTGACCACCTAGAGGGGTGGGATAGGGAGGGTGGGAGGGAGACACAAGAGGGAGGAGGTATGGGAATATATGTATATGTGTAGCTGATTCACTTTGTTAAACACCAGAAATGAACACAACATTGTAAAGCAATTATACTCCAATAAAGATGTTAAAAAATAAAAAAAACCATTCTAACTGGAAAAAATCATAATACCACTGAATAATTTTCACTTGAGAATTTCATTATTTTGGGTGAAACTTGTTTCACAACATGTAATCTTCACTACTTACTATAATTCCTATTTTCCCACTTCAAAATGAAAAAACTGGATTGGAAATTGACAAAGATAAATGCGACTGTGTGTGCTTCATTCAAAACCAATTTGCAATTATTTTTAAATATAGTTTTAACAAACTTGTCTAGTTTCCAAACCCACAGTCTGTTTAAAAAACAGCAAATTTTAAGGCAGTTTTAAAAGAGACAAGGGAATCAACAAGAAATCAAACATGACGGCTCACAACAGAAGTGAAATGCTGCAATAAAAAGCATTTTTGGACCTATTCATGTCACAGCAAATGGCTCTCAAGTCTTCAGTGGGTACAGAGAATTTTATATGTTTAGGAAAGTACCACAGTAATGTTTTAATTATCATAAAGATAAAATTGTATGTCACATGTTTTAAGGAGTCAGGGAAGAATATGTTTTTGAAAGATCCAGAATCAATTTTAAATGATTAAAACAATTTTTTAAGAGACACTCAGCTACCCAGAAAACCATCCTGGACGCATATATTCTTTGAGTATTCCAGCTAGCTCTCAAGCCCACTCTCTCTCAAATATACATAAGCTTAATATACTATATCACATTTGTCTATTCCTAGAGGTATTTTATTTTGGGCAAGAGTAAAGAAGTTAAAATTTCTAACATGCCCTTGATATATTAATGGTAGCACATAAAATCCAGCATAAAATTTACCATTTCCTAGGGACTGACTATTACTCACTCAGTAGCTTTGCCTGTCTTCTTTCCAAGGCCAGTTGTTTATTTCTCTCAATTCTTTGTTGTTGTTCTTCTGTTAGGCTTCTACTCGACTCAGAAGCAAACTGTGCACTTTCAGATGAGTTTGTCAGAAAGGGATCTAACTCGGTAGCAGTTACACCATGGCCATTATTTTCCCCTACTTCATCTGCAGTAGAAAAGAAAAAATTAGTACATCTGTAGTGTTAAATTACTTAGAAAAAGAGCTTATGCAGCTATTAACTGAAAACCAGTTTAAAGCAACAAGGTGCCAGACCTGAAGAAACAATTTGTGAGGTATGAGAATGTTACAAATACATGCTTGATTCAAACAAGTAGAAGGAATATTTATTAATCACTTTAAAGAGGCATTTTAAGTCAAATGGAATACTAGTTTAAAAACATGCATGAACAGAAAGCAAAAGTTCTTAGTTGCTAATGAAAGAACTTAAAGAATCCAAAGTATATCCTTGTGGGTTTTTTAAAATTTATTTATTTATTTTTGGCTGCGCTGGGTCTTTGTTGCTGCATGCAGGCTTTTTCTCTAGTTGCGGCGAGTGGGGGCTACTCTTCCTTGCGGTGTGTGGGTTTCTCACTGCGGTGGTTTCTCTTGTTGTGGAGCACAGGCTCTAGGTGCACGGGCTTCAGTAGTTGTGGCTTGCGGGCTCTAGAGCACAAGCTCAGTAGTTGTGGAGCACGGACTTAGTTGCTCCGCAGCATGTGGGATTTTCCCGGACCAGGGCTCGAACCCGTGTCCCTTGCATTGGCAGGCGGATTCTTAACCACTGCGCCACCAGGGAAGCCCTATCCTTGTTTTCTATTAAAAACATTTTAGTAGCTTGCCATATTGTCTGTATGATACACAGTAATGATTTTATATAGGCTATTTTTTGTGTACGGTAAAACTGAGACACAAAGTGAAAAAGGGGAAGAAATTTAGAGATTTGTGGACATATTTCCAAGTTAACTTTTTAAAAACTTCAGTGCTGGGCTTCCCTGGTGGCGCAGTGGTTGAGGGTCCGCCTGCCGATGCAGGGGATGCGGGTTCGTGCCCCGGTCCGGGAAGATCCCACATGCCACAGGGCGGCTGGGCCCGTGAGCCATGGCCACTGAGCCTGCGCATCTGGAGCCTGTGCTCCGCAACGGGAGAGGCCACAGCGGTGAGAGGCCCGTGTACTGCAAAAAAAAAAAAAATTCAGTGCTCTCTACATGATTACTCTTAATAAATTCTTAAAGCCCTGTACACCAGTTATCTCAAAGTAGGATGTTCCTAAAATGATCCACAGGGTATGAAAAGTAAATACTAGATCTTCCATTTATATTTCATTTAAGAATTACGAAAAATTAAGTTTTACTAACATATCTAAAAGAACCGGCAGTGACAAACTATCACTTATCCATATGACAGCTAATCATCTGGTCTGTAAGCTACCTTCAAGACAGCAAGCTCATACTGTGGAAGGGTGGAATTGGGTCCTCACTCATTTTTTAATTTCAGCATACTATGATATATAGCTAATTCTGACTACCCAGTTAAGCAACCTGACATACTATCTATTTTAACCAAGACAACCCTAGCACAAGTGGTAGCTTTAAAAGATTTCTGCAAAATAACAAAACACCTGTAGGTAGAAGATAACAGAAGTACAAGCAAGAACTAAGAAGATGGCAAAACTGACACTTCACCTTCTCTCTGTATCATTCACATTATGGTGTTAAAAAAATAATAAATAACCTCATCAGATCTGACAAGAAGGTAAAAAAAACTTCATTATCACCAAGACCACCATTTGAAATGAGTTTACAATTACTCTCCTTGTCCTATGCACATATTGTACAGTGAGGTATTAGCTAATGCCAGTAAAAACCATCACAACTAGCAAAACATTTAAAACATAAAGACAAACCGGTGAGATTTAAAAATCATGTATTTAATCCAGCATTTTACAATCTAAGCCCCTTTTGAGGTTTCTTCCTTAATAGTGAAAGACAGAAAGCCATACACTTTTCCTTCCTGATATGGAAAAAAATGTGTCAAGAAACTAAAATACATTCCTTTGTCAGGAAATATTGATGGAGTACATTTAGAAAACATTGCTGGAAAAGTTAAGAAACAAGTATTAGAACCAATTATGCAATATACAGGATTTATAATATGCTTCACTTTATAGGGCTTATAGGATTCTGAATTAATAGTAATGAAATACATAAAAAACTATTCAATACTTTTTAGTGAGCCATGAAAGGAAAGATCTCTTCAACAGTAAATGACCTCTTTAGTACAAACAATGTCAACAGAAAATCCATGTGAATATAACCACTTTTGCCTAGGATAAAGGTGGCATTAAAAAAAATTAGAACCACACATGAAATTCATTCACTGCCACATTCATAGGCAAGCTATTGTGGCAAAGAAGCTAAAGCCAAAAATATTCAATGTGGGCTTCCCTGGTGGCGCAGTGGTTGAGAGTCTGCCTGCCGATGCAGGGGACACGGGTTCGTGACCCGGTCTGGGAAGATCCCACATGCTGCGGAGCAGCTGGGCCCGTGAGCCACGGCCACTGAGTCTGCTTGTCCGGAGCCTGTGCTCCGCAACGGGAGAGGCCACAGCAGTGAGAGGCCCACGTATCGCAAAAAAAAAAAATATTCAATGTGCTACAGGATGCCATCACTCTGGTACATATAAACTAACAGATAAACTACATAATAATTAAAGGGAAATAAGAGCTATTTTAAAAAAGCATAGTGAAATCAGGAATGGGGCTGGGGGTCCAATTTTAACAGTGTGGTAGGGGAGACTTCACTGAACTGACATTTGAAAACAGTTTGACGCGGGTGAGAGAGTTAGCCATGCAGATTTAGGGGCAGGAGGGACGGCAAAGGACAGTGTTCAAGGCAGAGTGCAAAAGCCTTAAGATATACCTGGAAGGCTCAAGGAACAGCTAGGACGCAAGTGTGGCTGAAGCAACGGAATAGTAAAGATACCGTCAGGGAGGCAAGAGGAATGGGATAAGGACACAAAAACAAGATTCTATAGGGCCAAGTAGGACAATATAAAGACTGTGGCTTTTACTTTGATTGAAATAAGGAGCCACTACAGGGCTCTGAGCAGAGGAATGACATGACGACACGTGCTAAAAATATAAAAATATAAAAACTAATTTTAAGTAAAACGATTGAAAAGGGGCAGATGAAAATTTGCTAGTAAACTTCAACAAAAGTCCTTGCACTGGTGAATGAGACTGAAAGATGAATACCAAGATTTACTAAGTGCAGTTAACAATGCTCTACTTCCATTTGGGTTTACGCATCTTAGAAAGGTTAAAACCAAGATTTGGGAGAAAAAACTGAATCTACAACCAAACCTTCAAACCACTGATCAAAAAGTATTAGCCCAAAATTTTTGGTAAAAATTATTCAGTAGAATATTCAATCATATTGTTCTTACTTTAAAACTGCAATGTTAAGATCAAAAATGTACATTATATATCATATCAGTACAGCAGTACATGTATTAGAAAAATAAAATGTTCAAAACATTTTTACTGTTGTAGTGCCTCATGCAAAAGTCTGGAGACTATTCTCTTAGGATACAAAGAAAACAGATTCAACAACTAACAAGGCTCTCTGATACAGGCCTCCTCTATGTACCCTATACCGCAACTTGCCTGTAATTCCATGAGTGGTGCCATGTTCATTTATGCCTCTGCATAAGTGGCTGCCTCTATCCAAAATCACCTCTGCCTAACTTTTACTGCTTATCATTTAAAGTACTTGTGATACCTCCTCTGTGAAACTTTCCCCTCTCCTACCAAGCTTTCCTCTCCCCTAGGTAAAAGTAACTGTGTTCTCCTTTGCCCCGTACGCTGTCCCCTGTTCATCTCCAATTACAGCACCTTGCAGACTACTGGCATGTTACTAGTTCACGGTATGTTAGCCCATGAAGCAAGGGGTCTGATTGCATTCATCTTTATCCCCGAACCTTTAGAACATAGTACGCAGCTCAAAAAGTTCGATGAGGGCTTCCCTGGTGGCACAGTGGTTGAGAGTCCACCTGCCGATGCAGGGGACATGGGTTCATGCCCTGGTCCGGGAAGATCCCACATGCCGCGGAGCGGCTGGGCCCGGGAGCCATGGCCGCTGAGCCTGCGCGTCTAGAGCCTGTGCTCCGCAACGGGAGAGGCCACAACAGTGAGAGGCCCGTGTACAGCAAAAAAAAAAAAAAAAAAAAAAAAAAAAAAAAAAAAAAAAAAAAAAAAAAAAAAAAAAAAAAAAAAAAAAAAAAAGTTCAATGAATAAGCTAACTGACCCAGTAGTATATGCTGTGGGATTTAGACTCTAGTAACTAATTCCTTTCCATCTATCAAATCCCATGCCATCAATTCGTACCATACCTTACCAAATAATTAAATCTTGGATTATTTAAATCACAATCCTTCACACTTTTAAAAGCAGTTTATAAATAATTTTGAGGGATTCTATATGGAGCCTGTATTTTCTGCTACCTCTATTAAATTTTTTAAAAACAAAAAACAAACATGTATGGAGCCATCGCACAGAAAATCTGATAACTATACAGACTCTGTCGGCAGGAACCATGTTTTGATGTGTGTGACTGCCTATGGTTGCATTGTACAACTAACAAATGCAATCAATACCAGGAACAGTCACATAGGTCTAATTAAAGTCCTATATACAAGATCTGTACTCTTGTGTGAGATGTGACCTATTTCATCATCAAATTGTTCTGTCCAATTCCTCAGAGCCACTTTTTTTTTTTTTTTTTTTTTTGCGGTATGCTGGCCTCTCACTGTTGTGGCTTCTCCCGCTGCAGAGCACAGGCTCCGGACGCACAGGCTCAGCGGCCATGGCTCACGGGCCCAGCCGCTCTGCAGCATGTGGGATCTTCCCGGACCGGGGCACAAACCCGCATCCCCTGCATCGGCAGGTGGACACTCAACGACTGTGCCACCAGGGAAGCCCCAGAGCCAATTTTTTATAATGGTGGACATGTATATGAACACTGTATCTTGTCATATATTTTTATTAGCAAGCACTATAAAGGATCAGTGGGTCATCATCATGAGTTCTCAAATCTCATGTTCTGTGGCTAAATATATTTTACAACATCTCTTAATGGCATACCACCATGTCTTTTAGAAACAAATATCATGCACAACATTCTAGATGTACCAAGGCATCTTAACTCATTCCTATTTACTGTACTCAAAATAGACTAAGAACCCATTCCTGTAACACTCCCTACCCCAACTAGATCCATTCCTAAAAGCAAAATTATTATAAAGTAGATAAATCTATATTCTTACCATTATTGCTAACAAAATCTTCATGTAAAATAGGGAGATCAAGTCGAATTCGTTTTAAACAGGTCTGAAAATAAAAACATTTTTACATTTTCACTTAGATTTGGGGGAAAACGGTCATTGATTTTATTATTAGTTTCAAAAAAAGTTGTTCAAATAGCTACTATTAATGTTCCTTCTCTCTACTAAGACTGAAAATGAAGACCCCCAAAGAGCTACTTAGCCTCACTAATCTATCCTTATACAATTTAGCATTGTGAATGATATTTATAATGATCTCAACACCTACCTGAACTTCCTTTTTATTTCCCAGATATTCAACTCTGTCAATAAAATCTTCAAATTGCAGTTTAGGGAATAGCCTATGTGCCCAGTGCTCCATGTGTCTGATTAGTGTCTTCAAGTCCTCAGCCTGGAACATAAAAATAAAAATGCTAAATAGAAGACTCATTCTCACAACTGACCTTGTCAGCAGATTTTAGAACTGAATAATAGTATCAAAGTCACTGGTGTCCTTTTATATTTATAAGGTTAATAAACTTTTAGAAGAAATTTTAAGAAGAAAAATATTTATCAAGGGCTTAGAGCAGGTGTCCCCAACCCCCAGCCGTGGACCCATCCACAGTGGGTTAGGAACCAGGCCTCACAGCAGGAGGTGAGCAAGTGGGCGAGCAAGAGAGCGAAGCTTCATCTGCCACTCGCCATCACTCACATTACCACCTGACCCATCCCCCACACCCCTAGCACCCCTCGTCCCCCGGGAAAAACTGTCTTCCACGAAACCAGTCCCTGGTGCCAAAAAGGTTGGGGACTGCTGGCTTAGAGGACTGCAGTCTAATAGCACTGGATAGATTTTTAAAAATCAGAGGAAAACAGAAACCCAGTATGAAAGCTTAATAAAAGTTAAAAGATAATCACATGTGTCTTTTCAGACCTATAAATACTTGAAAATAAACTTCAATAAAATATGGCAAGATATCTTTTAGAAATAACTATACAAACTGACAGGTCTCTAAACGATATACAGAGAGCACTGAGAATCAGCTCTGTGAAAATATATTCAGAAATCCCAAGGGCAAAGTACCAAAGACTAGCAAGAACAGTGTAAACATTCTCAGACCACAATACCTCTCTATATTTGAAATTTCAATTTAACATTAAAAAATTTTTTTAATGAAAATGAAAAACAAATGAAAAAAGTTCCAAATTCCTGATTTTACTGTACAATATTTTTTTATTTTCTTATAGTATTTTAAAATAGGAGACTGGTTAAAGCTCTGGATCAGACTGCATAGATTCAAATCTAAATTCTACCACTTAATAGCTGTGTGACTTTGAGCAAATCACTTTACCTCTGTGTGCCTTTTTCTTCATGAATAAAACGAGAATATACATACCTCACTGGGTTGTTAGGAGGATTAAGTAATACAAGTAAAGTGCCTGACACAAAGCAAGTCCTCAAATCTTGGCAATTATTGTTTGTGGTGGTATATGATCTTGTCTAAGAAGCTAATAGTTAAAACAATCAACTCTACCAATAACTCAATATGTAATGCTGAGAACATAATGTCATTTCATTCTCATTCTGATAAAAAGAAAAGTTCTTTCAAAAGTTCAATCATCGGGCTTCCCTGGTAGCGCAGTGGATAAGAATCTGCCTGCCAACAGGGGATACAGGTGCGATCCCTGGTCCAGGAAGATCCCACATGCCGTGGAGCAACTAAGCCCGTGCGCCACAACTACTGAGCCTGCACTCTAGAGCCTGTGAGCCACAACTACTGAAGCCCACACGCCTAGAGCCCGTGTTCCGCAACAAGAGAAGACACTGCAATGAGAAGCCCATGCACCACAACGAAGAGTAGCCCCTGCTCGCTGCAACTAGAGAAAGCTCGTGTGCAGCAATGAAGACCCAATACAGTCAAAAATAATAAAATAAAATTTTTTTTTAATTAAAAAAAAAAAGTTCAATCACCTATGACCATTTTCCAGTTGTTGGGGTAGCTGATCAGCCACCTCACAATATCACATTACACCCAAGGGACAGAGAAGAGAAATACCTAAATACAGTGTGAAGTCCCAAGTCATACATGGAGAAAAAAGCATCGAGGATTCAACTTTGTTAGAAAATAGTAGAATTTTCAAAGGCAAAGTACAGAAGACTAGACAAACTCAGAGCCCAACCTCACCCAGTGAAGGAACACAAAATATTTATCCTTCGTATAAGTTTATTTATCTTTTAAAGTACTTATTATGAAAATGATGAAGAGGTCATAAATTCAAAGCACCAATTCATCACTACCTGAAAATTTCAATAAGAGCAATGAATTAACCGAGCTGGGCATGGTTTTAAAATATCTTGATTTATGTTTAGTTTTGTGGCAAAATAGGACACAGACTTATATTCTCCCTTCCTGTCCACCGAAACAAAGCAAGTGTACTACAATTTTTCAGCCTCCCAGGTTTGAAGTCTTGGGATTAATTTTTACTTTTGTACCTCCCAATCACCTCCAAGTATTATATATTGTTCATCCCTCTACTATTACCCTATCCAGGCTATTTCACCTCATTCTGCTGGTAGTGAAATAGCCTCTGAATTGCTATCTGCCTCCAGCTGCTTCCCTCTTTCCAACTATCCTGAATACCACACCAAGATCATGCTCATGCTATGTTAATGTTACTCTAGCTGGGCCGTGAAATGGAAAGTCGAGGCTCTGCCCTTAACCACTGGCAGTGGAGGCTTAAAACTCTAAAACTCAGTTTCCTTCACTAGATAACGGGACCAACATCTACCCCAGAGGTTGATAATGAAAGAATATAATTGAAAATACTTCATAAACTGCAAAGCTCTACAAAGATATCATCTGCAAAAAATTGTATCTACACGCTACACGATTCAAAGAGAATTTTTAAATGTACGTTTGTGCAGAGATTTACAGTTCCTAAATGTCTTCAAATAGTGTCCTTTCTACTACATCATAGTTTCTAAAGATATGATGATGAATGATGGTATCTGTGAAACATTCTAAGATTCCTAAGAACATGATAATGGGCCCACAGTCTTATTGATATTTTAAAAAACAAAGGTCTAAAATAAAAATCAGATACTTCTTACCTCATGACCTTTACCTTTGAATTTTGCCTTATCAAACACATGCCTTAATGCTGGAAGCCCTCTCTCTGAAATTAATCTGTGAATAGAAATATGTTTTAAATTTCTAGTTTTCTAAAGCCATCAAGACCAAACCAAGACCATAAGAAGAAAAAAATATTAACTACTGAACTGAGAAAAATGTCTGATCTCCAAATCATCCCAACTAAAAGCCTGTAACATAAAAGGGAAAAAATGATGGAAAGAAAAGTATAAATATTTAAGGAAATAATAAATGTACCTCTCAGCATTCAGCTTGGGTATATTCCTTTTAACTGTTCTCTTTGGAGGTACAGGAACAGGTGCTCCTCTCCCTAACTCTGGTGAAATATACCAAGATTTAATATTACTTAAGTAATTTAAGCCTCATTTATAAAATGTATCATTTCTAAGCTGTTAGATGGATACAGCTGAACATGGACACCACTTTGGAACCCTATACAGACCTTCTTCAGGTTCGGCTCCTTCACCATCTTCTCTCTCTGGAGAGGCTGGAGGTGGGAATGGAGGAAAAGTTTCATCTTCTGTATGCTCATAATCTGGTAGGTCAATCAAGCCATTCTCCTGTGGTTCTAGCATCTTTTCCTCTATGGGGAAAAAAAAGTAAACATGTTTATGCATCCAAGTAGTCTTCTTATTACACAAGTTCCACTTGCAGCAAAATGCATGTGTTTCAGTCAGTTAAACCATATTTCAAACTCAAACATCATGAACTGAAGTGAAGAAGATAACAGTTATGGAAAAAAGAACAAAGTTAGAAATTAGAACTGAGTTCTAATGTAGACCCTACCACTAAATAACTATATGATTTTGAGCAAATCATTTTACCTCAACTGTTGAGTTTCCCCACCATAAAATGATGATTTTAACTTTTCAGAGGGTTTCAAACTGTGGTCCAAAGGGGTGTGAAATAGGCAGGGTACAATACCTCACCCCCACTTCAACCAGAGAAGCTTTTTAAAATTACTGTTGGGAATTCCCTGGTAGTCCAGTGGTTAGGGCGCTGTGTTCTCACTGCTGAGGGTCCGGGTTCAATCCCTGCTCCAGGAACTAATATGCCATAAGCTGTGCGGGGGGACCGAAAAAGGAAAAATAAAAATAAAAATACTGTTTACATATTGGTTTTCTAGTAAGGTTTCCTTTGAAGAAATGGAAATAATCCTTAAGTTGGTAACTTGAAAGAATGCTTTTCAGTACCATCTTACTTGACCTCTCAGAAACATCTGACACTTCTGATCAGTTCCTTTTTCTGGAAAAGTGTTTTTGTTGACTTCTGAAACACAGTACTCAACTGGCTTTCCTCCCTTCCTGGACACTCCTCCTGGATCTTCTTTGCAGATTCATATTCCTCTAACCTGGTCAGTTAGTATCCAAGACTTCATCCTAGGCCCTCTTCATTCAGTTATGCACATGGCTCTAATTTATAGATGACCCATTAATTTTTTATCTCCACCTGAGCATCAAATCCGAGCTCTAAATCCCTACTTCTCATTTTACAGCTCTAAAATTTCTCAGAGGCACCTATCATGTATAAAACCACCATGTATAAAACCAACCTTCTAAATTTTCCCAATTCAATAATGACACCTATCCAGCTATACATCAGAAACCTGCAAGTCATCCTTAACACTTCATTCCCCCATCCTAAATACCTTGTCCATTTTACTTCCAGATTATCCCTTGAGTCCGTCCATTTCTCCCTATTTCCACAACCACTTCCTAACACTTCTTGTTTGGATTACTCCATTACTCCTATCCATTTTGTCCTTTCAATCCATTCTCCATATTACAGCTAAACTGAACCTTTGGAAATGTCAAGCTGATCACATTACTGCTAGGCTTAAATACTTCAATGGCTTCCTACTGCTCTTAGGATAATGATAAAACTCCAAGGCCCTGCAGGGTTTAGCACTTTCCTACCTCTCCAGACTTAACTTCACACCATTCTCCATGCTTTTTCTTTCTATCCCTCAGGCCACTAGACCTTTACAAAAGCTGTTTCCTATCTTGAAGGCTCTTCCCTGACTCCTAATCTCTTTCAGATCTCAACCGTCACCTCAGAAAAGTCTCTCCCAATTTTCCTAAATTAAATCCTCCTATGACAAGCATTCAAAATGTCAAGTACAAGTTTTGTAGCACTCACCCAGTTCCAATGTTAGGTTCTATTTGTATGATTATTTGATTAATGTCTGTCTCCCATAATAGACTGTAGCTCTAAAAGGGCAATGACAAGGTGGGTCTCTGTGCTCCTCTACTGTATCCCCAAAACTGATATACAGCCAGTGCTCAAGAAACAGTTGTTGATCTTGGTCCTCCCAAGTTGAACTAGCAGAAAACCTGAGCAGTTCTACAGCCCCAAAGGAGGGCACACCTCCTAACGCCTACTTCAAATGTGGCCAAGAGGAAAATGCACAGGGAAGGGGCTCCTGGAGGGCAAGGCTGGGACCCTGGAGGAGGGGAACAAGGGGGTGGCCCCAGAGAACAGAACTGAGGTGGCCAATTGAGCTTTCTCATTTCACTGCCAGGGCAGGTAGCCCAGGAATCCTCTCTATCCAAATCCATGTGTTTCCTGAATTCAGATGGTGAGAATTATTTTTAGTGAGTTCAGGTCATGGGTAGTGTAAATGCATTATCCAAATCTATCAGATTCCTGAGTTTGGGATAACATGAGAGTTCATGAAGGAAAGATATCTCAAAAAATTATCTGAATCTGTTCAGTTCCTGAGTTTATGGATAGGGAGAGTTCTGATGGCAATGATACTTGTAATTCCTGTCTAGCAGGATTTAATAACTGCAATGGGCCACTAAAAAAAGAAAGGAAGAATTTGGGGTTTTTTTGGTTTTTTTAAAAAAATATTTATTTATTTATTTGGTTGTGCCAGGTCTTAGTTGCAGCATTCGGGATCTTCGTTGCTGTGCGGGGGACCTTCATTGTGTCATATGGGGGCTTTAGTTGCGGCATGCGGGATCTTTAGTTGCAGCATGCAAACTCTTCATTGCGATATGTGGGATCTAGTTCCCTGACCAGGGATCGAACCTGGCCCCCCTATGTTGGGAGCACAGAGTCTTAGACACTGGACCACCAGGGAAGTCCCAGAAATAATTGTTGAATGGAGGAATGAAGAATTCCAAAGCTTCCCCAAAACTGTAAAACTACTGGAGCTAGAGAATCTCCAAAGTCTCTCCAATTCTAAACTTCCAAGACCACAAGTACATAAAAACAAAACAAAGTATCAACCATAGGTTTTCAAAATTGGAAAGGCAGTTAAAGGTCATATTGAAGTTCCTTCGGTTAAGTAAAAATGAAAAACACATTTTTCATTTTTACCAAGAAATTTTTTGAACATATTCAGCATTTTGTTCCACTACCTTCTGCCATTTTTCAGGTAACTTCATAATTCCATCTTCCCAAAACTTTTTATCCTTTTGAGCAAAGAACTGTTCCAGATGCCTTTTACAGTCTTCCAGGGAATTGAAATTTTTTCCATTAAGAGAATTTTGTAAAGATGGAAATAAATGGAAATCCGAAGGTTCAATGTCCAGTGAATACGGTGGATGAATCAGAACTTCCTAGCCAAGCTGTAACAGTTTTTGCCTGGTCATCAAGGAAACATGCGGTCTTGTGGTATCCTGATGGAAGATTATGCGTTTTCTACTGACTAATTCTGGACTCTTTTCATCAAGTGCTGCTTTCAGCTGGTCTAATTGGGAGCAGTACTTGTTGGAATTAATCTTTGGTTTTCTGGAAGGAGCTCATAATGGAGGACTCCCTTCCAATCCCACCATATACACAACATCACCTTCTTTGCATGAAGACCAGTCTTTGGTGTGGTTGGTGGTAGTTCATTTCCCTTTCCCCACGATATCCTCCATTCCACATTATTGTACAGTACCCACTTTTCATTGCCCATCACAATTTGTTTTAAAAACGGAACGTTTTCTTTACGTTTAAGTAGAGAATCGCGTGCGGAAATATGGTCAAGAAGGTTTTTCGCTTAACTTATGTGGAACCCAAACATCAAAGCAATTCACATAACCAAGCTGATGCAAATGATTTTCAACGTTTAATTTGGATATTTTGAGTATGTCTATCTCCCACGTGGTATAACTTTGATTGTTCTCAATTAATGTCTCAATTTGGTCACTGGTTTACCTGACCGTGGAGCATCATCCAGCAAGAAATCTCCAACACGAAACTTCACAAACCACTTTTGACACGTTCGATCAGTCACAGCACCTTCTCCATACACTGCACAAATCCTTTTTTATGTTTCAGTGGCATTTTTATCTTTCTTGAAATAACAAAGCATAATTATGCCAAAAGTGTTGCTTTTTGTCTTCCATCTTCAATATTAAAATGGCTACACAAAAATTCACCAATTTTGATAAGTTTTTTTTAAATGCACGTTGATATTTCATTGTTTCAAATGAAGTTAAAGACAACTAAGAAGTGCTACTAGAGCCATCTTGCAGAAAAAAACGAACCTTTTGGCCTCACTCTATCAATAGTTAAGCCTTCTGGGAAGAAATGGGGCTCACACCTTTGAAGCCAACAGGGAGCTATGAATGAGATAACAGGGCACAAACTATATTAAGTGTAACGATGCAATGCAAGGAACCAGCCAAGCCTGGGGTAGGACTTGTCAGGAAACTTGTAGTGAATAAGATAGCTCTGTCTTGGGCTTCCCTGGTGGCGCAGTGGTTGACAGTCCGCCTGCCGATGCAGGGGACGCGGGTTCGTGCCCCGGTCCGGGAGGATCCCACAAGCAACAGAGTGGCTGAGCCCGTGAGCCTTGGCCGCTGAGCCTACGCGTCCGGAGCCTGTGCTCCGCAACGGGAGAGGCCACAACAGTGAGAGGCCCGCGTACCGCAAAAAAGATAGCTCTGTCTTTAACTTCTTGACAATGGTTGCCTAGTCTCTTTTTAGACATTGATTAAGGTCTCTTCACTTCCTCCTCTAGTCCTCAGACTCGCAGACAAGTGAAGGTAACAAAAAAATTTAATATCCAAACTCGTTCCCAGACCCTTAGGTGTCCAATGCCCAACTTTTTCTAAGTCACCAAAACAGAAGTCCCTGGCGCCAGGAAGTCCTACCAAACTGACTCAAAGACCTCCTTGCTACCCAGCCCTAAAACCACAAAACTTCCCATCCCATCCCTCTTCTCCGACCTCCCTTCATCCTCACTCCCGTCTGTCCTGTCACTTCAACCACATTCATTCATTCATTCAACATTCACAGGACGCCTCCAGTGTTTAGAAGCCCCGATACAGAAACTGGAGATATAAAGATGTATCTGACACACGTTCCCTTGCACTAAAAGGCCTGGTTTAGAGAGAGACAGACCCGAAACGTAAACAAGAAGTAAAAGCGCCGGCCCTGGTCCCCACCGACCTCCTCTCCGCACAGGTCGCAGCCGGTCAGGCCTCCTTCCTCTCCAGTCCCGATCAGCCCAGGTCCGTCTCAGTCACGTCCTCCTGCTTCCTCACTCCCTCCTTGCGACTTCCCGGCATCCCCGCTCCCCAGCCTGACTCCCTCGGCCGGCTCTCCCCTCGGGAACTTCACTCTCGCGCCAGCCCGCTCTCACCTCGAGCA